CGCAAATTCTTCTGCTAGTTGGGGTTTAGTCCAAATCTGCATCCTTTCCTTCAAGGCTCAGGGGTCCAAGATTATCTTCTGTGTCTGTATTTATTGGTTTCCCTTTTCTTTGTTGAAGAGGGTCTGTGCAATCCTTCTGCCTAGTCCGCCATCTTGCCCCGCCTCCATCATCTTGCCTTTTTAATCAGCATTAAAATCATGACCATTAGTGCATGTTATTACGTATTCTTTAGAAATGTGATTATTCAGTAGCTGTACAATACCCCCTAAGGCATTTGACTGCTAACCAGAAGGCTGGCAGCTCAAATCCACCAGCCACTCCTTGGAAGGAAGGTTGGGCAATCTACTTCCATAGTGATAACACCTCAGAAACCCAAGGAGGGGCCACTATGAGCTGGGGCCAACTCGACAGCAGTGAGTTCAATTTTTTGTTGTTGTTTTGTTTTGTTTTGTTTTTGGTATACATATGACTCGACAGCAGTGCATTGCATTGCGTTTGTTGTTTATATCACCATTACCATTACCACACTGCTAGATATTTAGGTCTATCCAGTTTTTCCTATTATAAATAATGTATAATTAACATTTTAAATATAAATTTTTACCCATTTCTCATATGATTCCCTTAGGGTAAATTCTTATGACTCTAATTACTTACTCAGTATAAACATTTTAAAGAGATTTGACACATACTGCCAAAGCACCTTGCCACTAGCAGTTTATAAGGGCTCAGCACTGGGCCTCATCATCATCTATTATATTTTAAAATTGTATAAGTAGAAAGGAAAGGGGTCTCATACTTTCAGTTTTCATCATTTGGATTATCAAAAATAGTGGGGTCTCTAAAATATAGAGGAACTGAACTGAAATCACTAAGGGGGATTTGTCCTCTTTTTTTCTTTTTTAAAAACTTTTTATTATGACTTGGGTGAAAGTTTACAGAGCAAATTGGTTTTCCATTCAACAATTCTTACATGTTTTATTTTGTGACATGGATTATAATCTCCAGAATGTAGCAGCACTCTTCTCACTTCCTGCCTGAGTTACCATTTCCATTCGTCCTTCTTTTCTATCTCTTCCTGCATTCTGGGATTTTAAGCAGCCATCCATGGGCAACTATTCATCTCTCCTCAACCAGAGCAAGTAAGAGTGAAGAAAATCAAAGACACAAGAAAAAATTAGTCCAAAGGACTACTGGACTATATGAACCCCAGCCTCCATGACCCTAAGACAAGAAAAAATAGATGGTGCCCAGCTACCACTGCTGACCTCTCTGAAAGGGATCTGTTTTTGTTCTCATGCTGCTATAACAGGAATACCACAAGTGAGTGGCTTTAACAAACAGGGATTTATTATCTCACAGTTCAGGAGGCTAGAAGTCTATGTTCAAAGTGCCAGCTCTAGGGGCTGGATGAAGGCCCCTCATACTTGGGCTTCAGCTCTGCCTCTTACTCATGGCCCACTGGAGGTAGAAATGTCTCTTAACTCAGGCAGCTGCTGGCTGCTGAAGCTGACAAACCCAAGGTCAACAAGTAAAATAGCACAGTCCCAAGATTATCAAGTAACATGGCAGGCCACTAGTTCAAGTCCAGAAACAGTCTTAAGACAGCAGTCAACATGGCACACCACTGAGATGAAGACTTGGCCAAATGCAGGACCCAGATGTGCCCAAAAGCTCAGAGACCTTTCTCAAAGCTTTTCCTTATATACTAGAAGCAGACCACATCCCTAAGGCAGCTACTCAGCTGCTCACAGCAGATCCCACTGTGGAGTTGATTACCAGTCTCATCATGGGGAATAACTACATCCAGCAGCCAAGCCACTGAAAACCTGGCCCTGCCAAGTTGACACATAACCTTAACTACCATAGGATCACAATAGGAGGTCCTGGATAGAGTGAAAGAAAACTCTAATAAAAATGACCAGGCTTACTGGTCTGATAGTGACTGTTAGAATCCCCAAGGCTATGGGCCTTGGTCACCATTCAGGCCTGAAACTGAACTCATCCCAGTGGGTCAACTTTCAGCCAAACGACAGACAAGTCAATAAGGTGAACAATAATACCAGGGAAGCACGCACTCCTTAGAACAATCAACTATACAAGATCCAAAGGGCAGTATTTTCCCAAGGATAAAATGTAAACACTTTTGAGATATAAAAAGAGCAGATCAGGCACAAAAGCAAGCAAGCCTGAATGGGGGAAAGACACATACCCCGTGAAGTTCTCCAAGGAATGCAGAGAAAAACCCTAGAGAGCTAAGAAAAAGATTTTCCCTGAGAGTAGACATAGAGAGGCTTCCTCTAGATCAAGTATCCTGAATTTAGACTTCTACCCTCTTAAACAGCGAGAAAATAAATTCTGTTCTTGAGAGCCACTCATTGGTGGTATTTCTGTTATAGCAGCACTAGGAAACTAAGACACTGGCCATGATAAGGAATCTGCATTTTACTTTGAAGAGCAATGGGGAGGCACCAGAATGGTTTTAAGTAGGGAACTGACATATATCTAATTACCATTTCTAAAACTAGGAGACTGAGCCGGAAGCTGCTGCAAGAGGGGTCTTCAGGCAAGAGAAGGGAGTAAAGATAATGAAGGTGATGGAGTCAAGACAGGTGTTGGAGGTAGAGCCTTTGAGATTCCCATTGGACTGGATCTGGGAAAGGAGGGAAACAGACCTGAGCAACCAGGTGAATGAATGGTAATGCCCTTTACTGAGAATAGGAAGGCTGGATCACATTGTGGGGACGGGGCCAAGAGTACCACCCCTCTTTGTTGCTTAGGGGGCACTGAGTGTCTGTTACGGATGATAGGAAAATCTGGAGACAGATAATGGTGATGGTTGAAGAGCATGTCAAACATAATTAAAGTCACTGAATTGTACATGGGAAAAATGTTGAAATGGCAAATATTTTGTCAATATACATTTACCACAATAAAGACAGTACCCCTTCTTTGCAAACAATAAGTCTCAGATGATTGTTAGAATCCAAGGAAAAATCAAACAGGCGCTGAATACATGAGTTCGGAGCTCATGGGAGACATTCAAGCCAGGTGAGATCTCGTGGCTCAAGCATGTGCACAGCTTCTTACAGGAGCAGACACACAAATACAAGAACACCTAGAGGAATGGGGCTTCCACTTCTCCTCTGATGCAGCCATATATTGGATGGTTTCATAAAAGATTGGCCTAACTGGCTAGGTCACTGAGACTGCCTCTTTGGGAGGCTGCCCCTACTCTAAGGTGCAAGGTAGAGGCTGGAAAAGGGAAATGGACCACAGGTAGGTGTCTCCTGAGTTTAGTGAACCCAGCAGAGAAGCTCTGCTCTCTCCCCTGCACTTAACAGTGTCTCCTTCCCCAGTCCTTCAGTCCACAGAGTTCTTTCTGGGCAAGCCTCCCATACCTCCACACTTTCTCTTACCTCATCTCTCTGTACAGCAGCAGAGCTCACTAAGGGGTAACATATGGTCACTAAAAGCCTATAAACCTTGAACCATCCAACACACTCAGCTTCACAAAACCTCAGCCAACTGTATGTCTAATTCCTACCAATTCTCACCATTACCCCACTGACCAGAAAGAAAACCAAAAAACCAAACTCTTTGGCATTGAATCTGTTCTGATTCATGGTGATCCCATGTGTGTCGGAGTAGAAGAGGGCTCCACAGGGTTGTCAAAGCTGGTTTTTTGAAAGTGTATCACCAGGCCCTTTCTTCTGAGGAGTCTCTGGGTGGACTCAACCACCAACCTTTCAGTTAGCAGCAGAGCCCTTAACTGTTTGCACCACCCAGGGACTCTGATTAAAAGGAACCAAATCAGACCAGATTTGTTGCTATTGAGTAGATTACAACTCATGGCGACCCTGGGTGTTATAGAGCAGAACTGCTCCATAGTGTTTTCTTGACTGCATTCTTTACAGAAGCAGATCGCCAAGGCTTTTCTTCCCCAGCACCACTGAGTAAGTTCAAACCATCAACCTTTAGGTTAGTATTCAAGTGCAAATTGTTTACTCCACCAGGGACCATGGGAAATGAGCTGACTGAGGACCATTTCAGGACACCATCTGGTGCAAAGCTCCCTGCAGGGGCTCATCTCCTTTCTGGAAGAGTGTCACAAGGGATCAGATACACCTCCCCCATTCAGCCACAGAACTTATGCAAGGTATTGAACCTGATGCTTGGAACATGGGGTCAAAGATAACAGATTTAGGGACCACTCTACAAGACGCCATTGGCAGTGTCCTTTATGATGTTTAAATAAATCTGAATATTTGATTCAGCCAGGTAGAAGTATTTTGCTTTGCCTTGCTTTGTTTTTCCTGGCTAACTGTCTATGCATGGCAGCAGCAATGGGAACAAAAGCTGGACCAGCTCCACACTTCCAAGTCCAGTAGGGAATCCCTGCAGAACTTGGGAAAGACTTCTAAAGCTCTCCTGTCACTCCCCAGCCCACGCCAGTACTCACTTGAACAAAACTCGTGGTTCTGGAGCAGAACAGCAGAATGCCTTGGAGACTCACTGTGAGCCTTGGGAAACACGCCCCCAGTAAAATGCAAAAGCAACTGCCAGCAACAATGAAGCCAGGAGGCAGATGTGATCCTGGTGCAACAGGCCCCCTTGCTCATCTCTGAGTACGGAGCAGGAAGGGAGCACCCAGAGATCTCGGGGAGCCTGAGGCAGGGAGCAGGCTGCCAGCAATGTCCTTTCTCAAAGGTCATGTTTTGCTACATTAGGCAGAAATGTCAAGAGAAAATTGGATTATGAAAGAAAGAAAATAACAGACATGGCGAGCAAATAAAGAATAAAAAATAGCATTATCTCCTTGTTACAAGTTATTGGAGGGAGGGGGACACCTGGATAAGAGGGAGCTGGGGTCCTGCTCTCCCAGACTGTTATCCCAGGCAAGTCTTTGCTTCATCTCCTCCAACCCCTTCCCCAGCCACCAAGCACCAACTGGAGGACAGAAAGGTCCCCTTGAATTCCTCCAGATCTTTGTCACATAGAACAGTCACAGCCATACTCATGTACCATGTTTAGGACAACCATGGACTTCACCACAGCCTCACTCACCTTTTCACCACCTACCTCACTGATGCACAGAGCACCCTCTCCTCTTTCTCAAGGGTAAGGGCTGCCTTACTCCATCTAATTTCCAGCTGTTCTCTTCCTCCAACACTTTCTTCCTGCACCACTACCACAACCAACATCTGCCATTTATCAAGAGCTTACCAAAGTGCCCCACCATGCATCTGTCAGTTTGTCATACTGTGGTGGCTTGTATGTTGCTATGATACTAGAATCTATACCACCAGTATTTCAAATACCAATGGGTTCAGCAGTGGTGGACAGGTTTCAGCAGAGTTTCTGGATTAAAACAGACCAAGAGGAAAGACCTTGCCATCTCCTTCCAAAAATCAGCCAGTGAAAACCCTATGGGTCACAACAGAATATTTTCTGGAATAGTGCTGGAAGATGAATTCCCTACACTGGATGGCACTCAAACTACACAGTGGCCACCACAATGGACTTGAGCAAACTAATGATAGTGAAGATGGCACAGGACCAGGCAACATTTGGTTCTGTTATACATGGGGCTGCCATGAGTTGGTGCTTACTTAATGGTAACTAACAGCAACCACCAAGTGCCAGGTACTGTATTGAGAATTTTTGCACCCATTATCCCATTTAATACTTACAGCAATCATACAAGGTAGGTCTTACTATTATCTCCATTCTACAGATGAGGGAATTGGAGCTCAGAGAAGTTGCTGTCCAAAGTCAAACACAAAACTAAGACAACAGGCAAGATACCCAGGAATATTTTTGACCAAGACGCAGACACCTGTATACTCCAGGTGCTCATACATAACCTAATGCAGGTTCACTCAGAAACAGGGACGGTGCACAAGTCCAGAGACACAGTTGCCCTGCCAGAGACATACAATAGAAGCATCCACCTCCAGAGGCAAACATACATACAAAGAATGTAGCAAAGCAAACATATATACACTACAAACAAGCAATGCACCCCTTGGCCATCCCGCGTTTTTTTTTTTTTTTTTTTTGTTTGGGTGAAAGTTTACAGAGCATATCAGTTTTCTATTCAACAATTTATACACATTTTGTTTCATCACATTGACTGCTATCGTCTCAATGTAACAGCACACTTCCCACTTTCTCTCTGGATTCCCATTTCCATCTGTCCTTTCCTGACTCTCCCTGCCTTCTGAGCTTTGGTTTTGGGTAAATACTGTCTTTTGGTCTTGTATAGTTGATTGTTCCAAGGGGTACATTCCTCCCTCGTGTTCTTATTCACTTTATAAGACTATCTATTGTTTGCTGAAAGCTGATCCCTGGGGGTGAGTTCAATGTCAGGCTTGAAGGATATCTAAAAGCCACAGTCTCAGGGTTCCACTAGTCTCTACCCAACCAGTAAGTCTGCTCTTTTTTTACCTCCGAGGCATTTATAACTGCTCATGGTGCAAGGCAAATAGGAAAATGTAGGCACAGAATTTCAATATAACTTACCACCCACTCAGAACTCACTGCCCCCATTTTCCTTTTAGATAGTGCCTTATCTATATTCACCTGTCATCACTTATTGATGAGCTGGTTACCCTGTTCATCAGACAAGAGTTTAATTAAGAACTATCCTGCCTTCAAGCCCCACAGCAGCCTACTACTGGTACCTCCTCCCTTACAGATCCATTATCACTTATCTCTGACTTTTTCTTGGGTCAATGTCCAGTTTCCAAGCCACCTGACCATTGGAATTAATTTTGTGAGTAAGATTTTATGAGATGATGCATCACTTTCCCAAAATCAAGCTCTGTGACATTGCCCCCTCTATCCCTCATCCAAGACTACCAAACAAAGCCATTAATTTTGTCCTGCACAACTGGCTCTCACATAGGCCAGATTCTGGAGTCCAGAGGTGATGAGCGATGATGGTGCAGACACTGGTTGCTCTGGGAACAAGGCACCCCCCACACACACACACACACATGATCAAACTCTGGGACCTGAGGGGTGAGAGGGCTGAGAGAGCTGAGATGCCCCATCCCTAATAACCACATGGTAAACAGGGACCCTCCCAGGGATCCTACTTACGCCTGAGCCACCTCCCTCTGACCAGCAGAAACCTCAGTATGGTAAGCAGTAGCATAATCTTCCTAAGAGTTGTACCCAACTAAAACAGGCACAGAGCCCATGGCTAGGACAACATCACCCATTACCTTCAGAACCCTGTTGCCCTACATGAGAATCATTCCAGATGGACCTTATTGCCAAAAGAAGCCAACCAGATGAGTTCTTCTCTTGCCCCAAACACAAACCATGCCCTGTTTTAAGAAAGGCCCTCCTAAGCTTCATCCAAGACTCCCTGGGAGGCACAGACAGTTAAACACTCAGCTACTTAACCAAAAGGTTGATGGCTCAAATCTACCCAGAGGCACCTCAGAAGAAAGTCCTGGTTGATCTACTTTCAAAAGGTCACAGCCATTGAAAATCTAATGAAACACAGTTCTACTGTGCACACCTGGGGTCACCATGAGTCAGAATCAAGTTGACAGCAACTACTTTTTAAGCCTCATCTACAACATTATCCTCAAGATGGAGGGCTCCATGGGTTTCTTTGTTAAAGAATGGGGCTGCCATTAGGAAGCAACTCTGCTTCTTTGGCAAAGAAAGGTCCAGTGTGAGCAGGTCTGTGTCTCAGGATTTGAGTGCATAAGGTGTTAACAGTGGCGGGTGTCCTGCCATTCCCATACATGCCATTAAACCATATTGCCCATCCCCTTCATTCAGCCAGGCATTCCCTACCTTTCATGTACGCATTGTAGACCCTCTGTTAACTTTGTCCCCACTCCTCCTCTTCCATGTCACCATCTCTAAAACTCTCAGCCCCTCTCCCTGGCTTTGTCTGTCTCAGTCCCTCATTTGCTCCAAGGCCCTGGCAGCCAACCTGGCTGTCCAGCTGCAATCCTGCAAAGCCTCTCAGTCACGGTTTTCAGTCACTCGCTTGCTCTGTCTACTTCTAGTTGCTCTGGGTAAACAGCTTCCCAGTTAGTCAGGTGCCAGTCCCCTAAGATCTAGGTTAGGGGCCTGTCTACTTGGCTGGCCTTCCCCAAGATTTGCCTCAGCCCCCGTCTGCAAAGAACCAGAGATAGCTTTTCGTAGAAGATCCATTCTGCTGCAGGCCAGAGTCATAACAGGAGCTCCAGATGGACTCAGAGCATCAAGAAAGTCTATCCAGAAAGACAGGGAAGGCCCAGCCACTCGCAGTCCCCACAGGCTCCCAGGACTGTGACTTGCTGGCTGCAATGAGCATAAACACATCCGATTTCTTCATCGACAGAGGCAACATTTTCAATGTGGAAGGAGCAGTGCTCCCTTCCTTAAAGTCCAATACCTTCTCACCAATTGGCCTGTATTCTTCTAAATTTCCCCATAAAAGAGGTACCTTGGTCCCCTGGGAGATAGCCAGCCCCCTCTCTCACCACAGCAGCGGCAAGATTCTTTTGAAATTGCTGAAGAATCTGGAGGAAAGGTCAAGAAGAAATTCTCTGAGGCAGTACTAAATTCCACATTAAAAAAGAAGAAAATACAAACAAGCATTTCTGTCAATTCTAACTCATGATAACCCCAGGTGCCACAGTATGGAACTACTCCATAGCATTTTCTTGGCTATAATCTCACAGAAGCCAAACAACAGGCCTTTCTTCTGTGGTGCCATTCATTAGGTAGATTTGAACCACCAACCTTTAGGTTAGTAGTTGAACACAAACTGTGCCACTCAAGGACCTAAATTGCTTAAGTGACCCCATTTCTATGATTTGCTGGAAAAGAACAAATCACAGGATGAACTTGGAGGACATTATGCTGAGCGAAATAAGTCAGTCACAAAAGGACAAATATTGTATTAGTCCGTTATTGTAAAAGTTAAGGAAAGGTTTATATATTGGAGGACATTTTCTTTGTTGGTTACCAGGGGTGGGAGGGGAGGGGAGGGAATGCTGTTAGATAGATAGAGATAAATATTGATTTGGGTGAAGAGAAGGGCAATGTACCAAATGTGAGTGACCAATATGGCAGCATTGAGGATGAGAAAGACATAGAGAGTTACATGGGCAGTACAGACAACAAATATGAAGCCCTTTGCATATACAGTACTGAGTTGTCAATGAAAGCAAACATGGGTATAGGGACAGATAGATGGGTGAACAAGCTAAACAATTAGGTTTGTCTAAATGGAGAGTGTATCCAAGATCATATATAGGGTTGGCAAACAATGGGCCTATAAGTTCATGTGAATGATCAGAATTCCCAGGTGTATAGTAGAGCTGACAAGGGGCAAGGTTATGGTCATTACTTGGTCACAGCCAGCTACCCAGAGGGACCGAGCAGTTGCTCCTGCGGGCTTGGGACCATAGTCACAGGGGACATCAAGCTCAATTGGCATATCATACTACACAAAACATTGTTCCACCTACTACTTTGGCGAGTAGTGACTGGGACCTTAAAAGCCAGGAAGCTGCCATCTAGATGCAACAACGGGTCTCTCCTCAACAAGAAGAAAGAAGAAAACCAAAATTAATGGAAACAACCAGTCCTAGAGACTGGTACACCATCCGATCTGCAACCTATACAACTATGAGACCAGAAGAACTAGATGGTGCCCAGCTACCACTGCCATCCACTTGGAAGGGATGTAGGAGATCCTGCATAAAGAGGGAGAACAATGTGGTACAAAACTCAAAATCATTTGGAGGCAAAAAAAAAAAAAAAGAAGGAGGAGGTTGGGGCCCGGTTTTGTTGTTCCATTGGGGCTTGTTTTACCACTGAGACTATTGGCCCTAGCTGCCCTTCAGGTCTGGAATTGAACCCACACCTGTGGTTTCCAGCCAAACAAAGTACAGGCATGTGAGTTAAACATTTACCTCAAGTAGACACACACCCTGGAGAGAACAATCATGGGAGAAGGAAGGGCTGCTTATGCACAGGGAGATAGCTCAGGGTGCAGAAGAGTATGAAGGGATGGACACTGGGAGGAGGTAACTATGGGGAGGAAGTGGGAGGGGAGCTGCTGCATTGTAAATTTTGGTCAATGTCATGAGACAAAGTATATGTGAACTGCTGTATGAAAAGTGAATTTACTCTGTAAATCTTCACCCAAATCCTAATAAAAAAAAAAGAAAAGAAAAGAACAAATCACAGGAGATGGATAGAGCCAACAGTCTACTCTCAACTTCTCTAAGAGCCAGGAAACTCTTTTGACTCATCATTCTTGACCCTCTGGCTTCCGAGCATAGTCCTGCCCCAGACCAGAGAAGCCTGTAGCACACCAAGGAGCAGTTCAGTGGCTTCTCTCCACCTCCTGGGGTTGAACAAGGTGGGAAGGAAAGACGTACTATGACATCTTGTTATCAAGGTCTCTGCTGGCCACTGAGGAAACCCCAGAGGTGAACCCATGAAACCCAGTGCCTAAGATAAAGAAGCAGGTGTTGCTGCCCAGTGCCTCTCTAGAAGGCCAAGATATATTTTTCTCCATTATTGATATATTTGCTTTTCCCTCAATTAAATTGCTGTAAAAGGGGATGGGTTAAAGCTATTTGAGCCATTTTTATTCAGCTAAATTACCCTGGATGGCTCATTTAATGAACTTTAATGAAGCCAAAATGCTTTCTCTAATCAAATCTCAAGTGACGTGCCTGCTGTCTTGACCTTAAGATCAGGAGACTGGAGGCAGCTTTTCTCCATGGCCTGCACTGGGCTGAGCCAGGGTTTCCCAGACTGTGCTCCTGACAAAAGAAGGTCTAAAGTATGTTAATATGTACCACAAGGGACAAAAAGTCATATTGCTTTGAAAATATACTAAATAAAATGACCAGTTTTACCAGCTGCCATCAAGTCACCACCAACTCATGGT